AGAGTGTCTTTTCTAAAAACTACCGTAACCAAGCTATTTTGTGAAAACAGTAGATTACAGATTACAGTAAACCTTATCTTTAAACTGCTCATTTTTAAACTTTTTGACTCACATGGCTTGTCACAAAGAGGACAGTTGAGGCACTTGAAAATGCGAGGATTGCGGCTTGAAGCGACTGATTTTGGTGATAAACGATTCAATTGTCTAGAAAGAGTCGATTTCCGCAAAAAAGTTGAAATATTACCGTCATTTCTCTAATAGAAGCGCATGCTTTTCTATCAGGTTGGAAAGAAAGTTCTCGGAAAAAGCTGGCACGGTGATTTCTCAAAAACCAAACCATCAATTCTTACCATTCTTCTTTTTTGATAAACTTAACTATATTTTTAAAAATTTTTGACAAAAAAAAGCAGGCTTCAGGTAAAAAAATAAGAGATTTCTTTAGCTGAAGTGACTTCGGGACTCTTTGAGTGACCGGCCTTTCGACAAGTTTTTAATGGGTTAATGAATAGGCAATGGGTTCCATTCAAAATCTAAAACGAAGTACTTGAAATAGGGAAAATTTGTGATTAAGGCAAATTTTATCTAATGCTTTAACTTTTCAGAGTGACCTATTTTAGCAAACACTGAAGATGCCAAGAGCATCTGGCATCTTCAGTGTTTGCTGTTTGCTGTTTAAAAGTAAAATAATTTTTTTACCCGGACCCCATAGCGAATCTTCCAAGAAAATCCTTGTGGTCCCCACATAAATATTTTTTTGACAAAAATATTTTCATTTTTTTAAAAATCACGTTTCCAATTTTACTGCCAATGCTAAACTACTTACATCTGGCCCAAACATACTATTCTACTCAAAAAGAAGTTCTAAAATCCCAATTTTGAGGGATCGGGGCTCTTCTATTAGAGAAAATACGGTAGGTATTAAATCTATTACCGAACTCAGCAAGGAAAAAAAAGTTACCGGCTGAAAAACTTGACAACTAGATGGAGGGCCATTTTCGAGAGTGATTCGACAGAATGCAAATCTGAAAATGCAACAGGTTAAAAACAGAACAAAATTGAAGAATCTTTAAAAACTAGCAAAGTACAAAGGAGAAAGATTGAGTCATTGAGATGATTGAGATGGAGCAGAAGGGCAGATGTCTGCTTGACTCATTGAAATCTAATTGAATAACTGACAGATATAAAAATTGCCATACAATTTGACTTTTTACAAAACAATTACTACCAAATTAATACAAAATCAGAAAAAAATTGTCTTAGAACCTGTACGTTGTGTTTGATTACGATAAAATGAGCGATTGAATCAATTGTGGAATTCTAAAGTAGCTTCAGCTTGACCTAGTCTTATGAAGTTCATTCTGACTCATTGAATTTGCTGAGCAGCTTCTAAACTTTGAGAATAATAAATGCGCTATTTTAACATTAAACCTCAATCCCAGTGTTACATGATCGCAATTCGCCCAAATATTTCTCACAAATCCCCTCAAATTCCTCGCTAATAACTCTGAAATTTGTTGTTTCTTTTTCAAAATTCTTTAAACTTACAAACAATCCCGTAGTTCGTACTTTGCTGGATAATACTGTAATTATCCTTGAAGAAAAACTTCTCTTGAAAACAGTTTGCCGAACTTTGTTCTCCAGAACCAGAACCACTTTTTAGAAAATCCCCTTTACAAAACCAATGGCAACCAAGCTCAAAAAAACTTAGTAGTTCGTACTTAAAGTCTGTATTTTGTGTTTGTTTACGATAAAATGAGTAATTGAATCAATTGTGGAATTCTAAAGTAGCTTCAGCTTGACCTAGCCTACTTAAGCAGCTATTACTCTACTAAGTTTCTTTTTATTAGGTTGGCGGGAAAATAATGAGAATTTTTTTGACCCGAATTTTTATTTTAAAAAAAAACAATAAATAAAGAGGATTAATAAAAAGGTATTCTCCATTATTATTTAGGACATTATGTCATCTTTCGCTCAATTCCATAATTCTATCTTCAAAGAACTGCGGACTTTTTGACGAAAAATAGTTGGTGACCGCATTTTCGACTTCCCGGAAATCCTTGAACAGCTGATCGGGGATGAACTGCTTTAGAGACCTGAATAAGTGATAGTCTGATGGGGTCAAGTCAGGGCTGTATGGGGCGTGAGGTAGAAATTTCCAGCCCATCTCTTCGATTTGTTGGAGGGTCATCTTTGCCGTGTGCGGTTTTGCATTATCACGCAAAAATCGAATTTTTGAAGTGTCATGTCGAGATTTCGGTAAAGCTTGATTCACAAGCTCTAACTGCTCACTGTAAAGTTCAGATGTGACAGTTTTACCCGGTTTGAGCAGTTCAAAATAAATCCACGATAGTTCCACCATACGCACAACATCAACTTCTTTCCATGCAGACCAGGTTTTGACATGACAACCGGGTCTTGCTTTGGTGATGGCCATTGGTGCTTGCGCTCAACGTTACCATATAATATCCACGTTTCATCAGAAGTAACAATCGATTTCCAAAAATCATCTGCTTTTGATTTTTGAAACAAAATTGAACAAGTGTTCATACGGGAAATTTTGTGATTGAAGGTCAGTTCATGTGGGACCCATTTTCCGCATCTGTTGCGCTTTCCAATCAAATGTGAATGCTCTTCAATGGTGCTATAATGAACATTGAACATTTCCGAGAACTCCCGAGTGATGCAAGTGGGATCTTCTTCGATAATTTGCAAAAGTTGAGACTCATCCAACTTTCGAGGACGTCCTTCGTGATGCTCATCTTCTAGGCTCTCGTTTCCATTTCGAAATCGCTCAAACCATCGACAACATTGGCTTTCGCTAATACTACCTTCGCCATAGGCCTTTGAAATAGAATTATCGCATTATTTTTCCGCCAACCTAATATATTGCTCTAGCTGAATATCCCTTTAATTAGAGAGTGCACTCGCAACCATTCAAAGTATCCCACTTTGCTAGAATGACAAATTTATTTATTTAAACACTGCAAAAGCTATCAAAATTTTCCCCGTGGCTTTTTCAGGTCAACAACTGATAAAAGACTTCACTTTTCCTTTCAACTAAACAATAAGATGAAGCTATTCTTTAGATCCTATTACATTTTCATTCTATCAGGTAATGATCATTGAAGATCTATTGTAATCTTTTACAAGTCCATCCTTTGGTTTATGTCCACAAAATGCTGTCACCGGATTCAATAACAAGATTTGCTATTTTGCAGTAGACGTCAACAAGTCTTTCACCGAAGCAAACGCGTTTTGTTCGACCAAGTAATTTGTCTATCTAAAATTAACAACCTGATATGTTTAGTTTTTATGGAAATCTTGCCACAATTACTAAATCATCTGATGATTAAAATGTGCTTATCTTAGCGAAAACATTACTTAAAGTCAAGATATTCACGGGATTTCTTTTGAGATGAGTTTTAGATTGACAGCAGTGCTTGGCGGAACATTCGATGGGAAAGAGACTGTTTGGCTATATGAATCTCGTGACGAGTATCAAAATTTCGAATCAAGTAATGAAAATGCGTGATTTGTCTCCAACAACGAAAGAATGTCTTTCAGACACTTTACCTGGCAACGTTATTCTCAATTTGAAAAGCGGGAAATGGTCAACTCCTGCTTGGAATGCTCAATTGCCTTTTATATGTCAAATGGAAGATGTTTATTGTACATTTTTGAATTAATAAATTTTAAAAAATCAGAGTACAACGAGTACACAAAATCCAACCGAGGCTTGTCCACTCTATGTCCGACCGATTGGGTCTACTCGCAATCATTCAAAGCTTGTTAGAAGGTAAAGGTTAAAATATTTGACCATTAATGGACTATCAATACTCAATACTTTAAGATTGATATATTTCAACTAGTGGATTCAATGAACTGTTAATCTTTTTGACAATTCACGATGTAAATTTTGGGTTTTTCCTTAGTGAAACGCTGGATTTTTGTTCTAATAAGTATATGATTGTTTCTTAAGAAACCAGCTACAAAAAAGTTTAAAGTCACAAACAAAAATCGACTTTAGACTGGTCCAAATGCTGGGGATTAGGTGTGGCTAGATGGAACGCCGATGAACTACACGAATTGGTCAAGAAACCCTCCCCAGCCAGATAATGCAAATAATAACGAGTATTGTATGCAGGTAGACCCTTTATTTCATAAAGAATACCTGCATACACTCACAATACGTTTCAGATTTGGTCCGACTTGTAAGCGAGAACCGTACCATCGAGTGGATATTGGGAGAAATGGATTGACTTTCAATATGCACTGCAATATCGTTTAGCTTTGTGTAAGCAACCGGCAAAGTATTAAAAGAATTGGATTTTTAAATTTCAAATTCGGAATTTCGTTTTGTTTTCGATAAAGGCTTTTGTTAAGTTCATGTTTAACCAGCCAGCAAAATCCACTTCGCGGATTTGACCGGCTAACATGAAAATTCCCGTAATGATGAAGAATTCATTTAACAATCTGACTGATAGTTGAATACAAGACGATAGTTGAATACAATCACCCATCCTTACATTTTAACCTTAAACTCTCGAGATAATGTGCCTAGACAGAAATGGTTTATGAACATAATAAGTAGACATCCTGGGGAACAATCATGTTAATCATGAAAATTTGTTTCTCTAGGTCAATCTCTTTCTCTTACAGGACACGAAAGTAGGTCCGTAGGTAATACCTTCTCGAGCCGCTCCTTTCTCGTTCTTTACGCACAAAATATGGCTCAAGTCCAAGCTTTCACTGTGAGAACCTTTAATTATCTAGCAAATTTTACAAATGTATTCAACCAAGTGAACATAGGAATAAGTTTGAATTTTCAAGTCAAGTCGGAACATAAGTCATTTTTTCAAACGAAAAAGCCATCTTTTTAGTCAATAAATGAATTCTCACGCTATTTTTAGGCACTAAAAAGGTTTTTGTTATAAATAAACACAAATTTGTTAACAACACGTTACATAAAGAAGCTATATCCGTAACTCAAAGTAATTTTATGAAGTTTCTTTTGCCTCCTCGAATTTGCTGAGCAGCTTCTAAACTTTGAGTATAATAAATGCCCTATTTTAACATTAAACCTCAATCCCAGTGTTACATGATCGCAAATCGCCCAAATATTTCTCACAAATCCCCTCAAATTCCTCGCCAATAGCTCTGAAAGTTATTTTTTTCTTTTTCAGAATTCTTTAAACTTACAAACAATCCCGTAGCTCGTACTTTGCTGGATCATAATTTAACCCCTCAATTTTGCCGATTTTTTCAAGAGCTTTCTGAAGAATCTCTGGAATTTCTCACAAAAATTTGGAAAATTTACCGCTTGAAAATTGTGGATTTTTTTAATCAAATCCGCTTGAAGTTCGGGAAAAAAGACATCATAAGCTTTAATTTGCGGGGTAATCACTTCATAAGTTGCATTCATCAATTTCTTCACCTGAAAATGGAATGTTCTTCTGGCTATTTGTAGATTCGTTCTTTTCTTTCTACCTCTCCAACTTCCAAATCGACAATTTTATGCGAGTGATGCTTTCTCATTCCACATAAAGCACAGAACTAAACCTTGATTTATACTTTCATTTTTCACATCACATAAGTGTAACTTTTGAAATTCTCTAGCATCCCTGAATGCGCTAACTAAAATATGCACACAATGATCCCAAAATAAAGTTCTATTTTCAAAAATCTTTTCTCAACGAACCATTACTTTTCCACAATCGTTACATTGAAACATTTCAAACAAAGGCGCCTAAATAGATTTTGACAATGTTAAATCTGGAGGAAAACCTCTTTCTCGCAATCGCCACAGGTACTTTTCGATTCAGTTTGTTTCTCAGGCAGTTCTCGCGAAAAGACTGAATGATTTTAACGGTTGAAGGATGACAGAAAAGCAACCAACACTCAGGAATTGTGATTGATTGAGTTGTTTGAACGTATCCTATCAAATTTTGATCCAACGTAAGGCATCCACTTGAGAGCATTGCTAAAGCAATCTGAGTGTGTCGCTTTCTCAAAGAGATACCACAGGGTGCGCCAAAATTACAGTTTCACCATTGCAGCAGATTGCATGCCAAACACCGAAATCATTGCAAAAAATCTAAGTGTTAGATAGAGAATTGAAGCCTGAATTTGCCTACATTTCTGTAACAAAAGATTTTTGATTGGAGTTGTGTAGCCCATTTATCAGACTCTCAAAGAGCCCAATCCGACCAGTCTCGGGCACGCTTCCATTTTTAGCTCTTTTCTAACTAAAAAACTTATACGTAAGAGGTATTTTTCTTTAGTAAAAGCACATTTTTCTTCATTTAGAAATTATTTCCAACAGATTAACAGCTTTAGGACAGAACGTACGGAGAAGTGAACAAGCATAAATGATTTTACCTTGCCGGATTTCCTGTAGTTTCGGGATTTGCTTGGTCAATTCGGGGAGTTCGCGAAGAAATTCTAAAAGAAAACTTTCTACATGAACTTTCCTTGAGAAATTGATCGTGAGTAATTTTCGTATTTAACTTTTCACACTGAATTATGTATGAATTTTCTCCTTTACCTCTTAGCCAATTATCTTTCGTTTCAATTGAATTTGGATAACACGAAGAATAGTTACAAATTGAACATTTCATCAAACACTGTATTGTTTACACTAGAAAAATTTGGAAGACGATTGAACCTGGAATTCTTGATAAATTAATTGCATCGATGCCTACTCATATTAAATCAGTACTTTTGGCAAAAGGAGGAGCGACTAAATATTGATTAAAGCTTAATTTCGTCTTGTGTTAAAAGACTTTTGCACCACGATTTTCAGGGGTGTTTTAACAATTATATTTTTTGCTCAATGAATAAGTGTTGTATAGCGACAACGTTTGTGTAAATAAATTGTACATATATTTGTGTAACTAAAACTATTAATAGCTTAAAGATAGCCATGAACTTTATCAAAGAAAATTGATAAAACTTTTTAGAAAATTGAATGTGAAAAGACTTTTGCACATGACTGTAGGTTGTTGACGCCGAATCTTTGGATGAAAGCGACGCACCGGTGATCATTCGAGCTCCTGATCGACCACTTCCTCCATCGATCACTCGACGAGAAGCTGTACTGATATTCTTTTCAATTCGGTTTGTTTCTCCGACAGTTCTCGCAAAAAGACTGAATGATTTTAACGATTCAAGGATGATAGAAATGCAACCAACTTTTCAATAGAATCTTCCATGATTCTTGAGCATACCAACCGTTTCGTTTGCATTGTGGACATTCGAGATCATATTTCAAGCTGGTATGGGTTATTGTTTTTATTGGTAGCTGGTTGATTATTGGTAGCAACGTATGGGTGATTGGTTTCGACATTTTTGCTAAACACCCATTACATATCCCGTGGCCACAGTAGAGGATGAATGGTTCTCTTTGAGAGTTTTCGATTGAGTCTAACGTTTCATGATTCTCTAAGTGTACAATGAAATCACCCACATTCTTCATTGCAAATCACTCAGGAATTGTGATTGATTGAGTTGTTTGAACGCATCCCATCAAGTTTTGATTCAACGTAAAGCACCCACTTGAGAGTAATTCTGAAGCAATCTGAGTGTGTTCCTTTCTCAAAGAGATACTACAGGGTGCGCCAAAATTACGGCTTCACCATTTCAGCAGATTGCATACCAAACACCGAATTTATTGCAAAAACTCTAAGTGTTAGATAGAGAATTGAAACCTGAATTCTTGCCTACATTTCTGTAACAAAAGTTTTGTGATTGGAGTTTTGTAGGTCATTTTTCAGCCTCTCAAAGGGCCCAATCCGACCAGTCTCCGGCACGCTTCCATTTTTTGCTCTTTTCTAACTAAAAAACTGATATGTGAGAAGAATTTTTCTTTATTAAAAGTACATTTTTATTCATTTAAAAATTATTTCCAACAGATTAACAGCTTTAGGACAGAACGTACGGAGAAGTTAACAAGCATAAATGATTTTACCTTGCCGGATTTCCTGTAGTTTCGGGATTTGCTCGATCATTTCGGGGAGTTCATAAAGAAATTCCAAAAGAAAACTTTCTACATGAGTTTTCCTTGGGAAATTGATCGTGAGTAATTTCCGTATTTAACTTTTTCATCGGGCTATGTACCAATTTTCTCTTTTACCTCATGATTTGATTCAAATACAATTAATACGACTGATTTCAGACTACAACTAATCATTTTAATCAAAATTCCAAAAAGAAAGTTTTGAATCTTAAAAATCCCTTTTTCTTCTTATAATTCATAAAACTCACAAGGAGATTTGCAGAGAGAACAGTTCAATGAGTGGAAAATCTCAAGTTCCGAGCTCATCTTTCTAAAAATCGACAAATAAAAAAAAAAGAAATCGATTTGAAAAGGGAAAAAAGTGAAAATGGAGTCAAAGTGTAAATTGGGTGATAAGACGTGGTGGAAATGGATTGCAAAAGAAAATTCAAAAATAAATTTGGAAAAAGTAAATCGAAAACGGTTTTCGATGGGTCAACAAATCTACTGATAAGCTCACAATTCCACGATCAGATTTTCTTGAAAGAAAACTTCTATTTCTTCCATTTAAGACCCTCAGATAACCTTGATTTAACTTTTCCTTTGATCAAAATTTCAATTCTGATTCTTAAATTCATCTAAATCTTCTAAATACTCAAGTTTCACATTCTCAATAAGCAATAAAGTTCTTTTGAATGGTGCAATAAATAGGAAAATTTAGACAGTTGGCTCAATCTATCAAGTTGAAAGTTTTCGTTTCCTTTTTCACTTAAACTTTTTCTGTGGCTATTCTTTGTCACTCTTAAAATGTCGATCTTCAAATCGCTCAATTGTGCACTCTGTTCGACGCCGTGTAAGTTTTACTCTGAATTCAAAGAAGCGCACTATTTTTTCATTAACTTCTGTAATAAAAATGTACAGAATTGTATTTCAGACTCAAAAACGGCAAATGAAGTAAATACACCGACACAAACTTTTTGTGATGATATTCAAGCAGTGTGCATGAAATGTTATGAAGAACAACGAGCAATAGCCCCAGCGATTCGAGCACATCAATGCGAAAACCACGATTGTTTTGAGTACATCGCGCATCCTTCATATTGCTTGATGGGTGGGTAAACTTGAAAGTAATCAAAGAAAATTCTCTTTGAAAAACAAACACAATCAGATTGCTTTAGAATTGCTCTCAAGTGGGTGCTTTACGTTGGATCAAAATTTGATGGGATACGTTCAAACAACTCAATCAATCACAATTGCGGAGTGTCCGATTTGCAATGAAGAATGTGGGTGATTTCATTGTACACCTAGAAAATGATGAAACATTAGACTCAATAGAAAACTCACAAAGAGAACCATTCATCCTCCATTGTGGCCACGGGATATGTAATGAGTGTTTTGCTAAAATGTCAAAGCCAAGAACCCATAAGAACTTCAAATATAATCTCGAATGTCCACAATGCAAACGAAACGGTTGGTATGCTCAAGAATCATGGGAGAATCTATTGAAAAGTTGGTTGCTTTTCTATCACCCTTGAATCGTTAAAATCATTCAGTCTTTTTGCGAGAACTGTCGGAGAAACAAACCGAATTGAAAAGAACATGTAGTGATTGCAAAAAACTGGTTTTCCTCTAGATTTAACGTCGTTAAAATCTATTCAGGCGCCTTTGTTTGAAATGTTTCAATGTAACGATTGTGGAAAAGTAATGGTTCGTTGCGAAAAGATTTTTGAAAATAGAAGTTTAAAATTTTTGGATAATTGTGTGCATATTTCAGTTAACACTTTCAGGGATGTTAGAGAATTTCAAAAACTACACTCATGTGATGTGTAAAATGAAAGTATAAATCAAAATTTAGCTTTGCTCTTTATGTGGAATGAAAAAGCATCGACAGCATCAAGTTGTCGATTTGGAAGTTGTAGAGGTAGAGAAAAAAAACGAATTTATGAATAACCAAAAGAACAACCAAAAGAACATTTTCAGGTGAAGAAATTGATGAATGCAACTTATGAAGTGATCACCCCGCAAATTAAAGCTTATGATGTCTGTTTTCCCGAACTTCAAGCGGATTTGATTGAAAAAATCCACAATTTTCAAGCGGTAAATTTTACAAATTTTTGTGATAAATTCCAGAGATTCTTCAGAAAGCTCTTGAAAAAGCCGGCAAAATTGAGGGGTTAAATTATGATCCAGCAAAGTACGAAAAGGAGGATTGTTTGTAAGTTCACGCCAATTAGAAAAACAAAAAAAAAAACTTTCAGAGCTATTGGTGAGGAATTTGAGGGGATCTGTGAGAAATATTTGGGCGATTTGCGATCATGTAAGACTGGGATTGAGGTTTAATGTTAAAATAGGGCATTTATTATTGTCAAAGTTTAGAAGCTGCTCAACAGATTCAATGAGGCAAAATAAACTTTATAAGATTTCTTGAAGTTACGGATATTAGTTTCTTTATGTAACTTATTGTGAATAAAGCTGAATTTAACCATACAATTTGATTAAGATACTGAATTGGCTTAATTTGAATTTGCTTGCTTTCCAGAAGTTTTCCAGATCTTTCCAGATGTCTTCTTTTTTGTAGCACATCAAAAACTCCATTCCCTGAAAGACTCTCTCCCTGGCTTCTTATCAATTGATTGAATGGATGGCTTCTTTCGCAGGTAAACTTTGCTAGATAATTAAAGATTCTAACAGTGAAAGCTTGAACTTAC